TATTGACATTTTGTGAAGCACATTTCTAAAACTGTTAGTTTAGTGGAGATGTGTATTTTTAAGATGAGAAAAATTTAAAAGGGACCTGAGGGGCAACATTTTCACACAGAGGGTGGCTCATATGTGGAATGAACTGGCAGAGGAAGTGGTAGATGCAGGTACAGTTACAACACTTAAAAAGACATTTGAATAAGTACATGAATAGGAAAGGTTTCGGGCAATACGGGCCAAAAGCAGGCAATGGGACTAGTTTAGTTTAGGAAAATTGGTTGGCATGGATGATTTGGACCGAAGGGTCTGTTTTTGTGCTGTATGACTCTATGAATTCGATAGCTTGACCTGGTTACACTACAAATTTCCAATCACGTTCGACACGTCAATGCAGGAAATGCAGGGACTTAGGGTAGTTACGGCAGATGTAGGGGAGGGAAGTTGTTGACCTTTCCGATCCTGTTTGACAATGCTGCGAGCGGGACATGAAGCTCACTGAGTTTACCCTTAGTGCCTGGGACTGGGATGGTCAACAACATTCTGCAAACAATAAAGAAAAAGGCAATGGTCAGGTGCTACACATATTCGAGAAAGAGAGACTAGCATTTGTCCAGCCTCAGGATGGCTCAAGGTGCTTTACAGCCAACAAAGCACTTTGTTGAAATATAAACGCGGTTCTAACATATGCAGCGAATTCCCACACTAACAAGGAATAAATGACCAGATCACCAGGTTTAGGTGACATTGGCTGAGGAATAAATATTGGTCAGGAACCTGGTAGAGAAATTGAATCTTCTTCAAATTGTGCAATGGGGTCCCTTACACCGACCTGAGAGAATTTAACATCACGTTTGAAAGACATCACTTTAGGCAGAGCAACACTCCCTCATTATAGCACTGGAGAGTCAGCCTGGATTTTGAACTGACCTTTCTAAAATTGGACTTGAATCCATGACATTCTAACCCAGAAGACAAGCGCGTTAACCCCAGTGCTGAGGCTGTCTTTGTGAGGTAACATGCCCGTCATTTTAGGATCAGCCACCTGACTGGCACACACTGAAATAGTTATATTCAGCTTTAAACTCACAGTTTTCACCCTCTTTCAAACTCTGGTAAAAGTTTTAGAGAAAAATTGATACATTTCTCATGATTAAGAAAGTCTTCTGTTCCTGAGCTCTGTTTTACAATTTACTTTTTTTTAAACTGACAAGTTTGCCTCTTCCTTTCTTGCTTGCCAACAATTCCATTGAAACAAAAATCCTCATTACTTCAGACTGAATGTCGGCAGGCAATTCAACCATATGGGGCATCACAGCCAAACCTGACCTAGTCTGCAGGAGACACCCAAACTTCAATACCACTAGACGCTGATGAGCGAGATCCGGGATTCTGATTCATTTATTCCATTCCTACCTGAGGTACAAGGAGGATCATTGCAGCCCTATTACAGTACCTCAATCAGCATATTCTTAAATAGTTAACATTGCTATGACGGCAAGATCCTACCCTGGATCAGTAAACAGTGACACCACAGATTGTCGCCCCTCGCACCCCCCCAACCAATATCTGGGTGTCAAATGGACCGTGAAGCCCCCTACAGATCATCAGCATTTTGGAAACCATGGTTCAGGTTAAATACAGGGTTCTCTAGAGGGTCCCCAAGCATCATTAGGAAAGATAAACTGAGAAGAAAGGAAGCTGACATTAAATTGCCTTCAGATTGGGGGAGGGCAACGTTCTGGGCCTTACAAAATGCACCCTGGGGACTTCCACATGGTACCCTGTCACTGCAGGAGTGCAGAGGGACAACAACTCAGAGCGAAAATAGCGGGTCTTGGGGGGATGTGTGGAGTTAGGGAACTGGGGAGAGCAGAGTAAACAGAGGAGAAAGAGAAAGTAGGGGAGATGATGGGCTGGGTGGAGAGAGGAGGTGGGAATTCACTGGTGGGGGGGGGTTGGGGAAAGAGATCCAGGAAAATGACTTTCTAATAAAATTAATATTTTAACTACGCCCAATAAGGAAAACACAGGTGATTCAGTGAAGAGAGGAAATGAGTGAAGCACTGCAGTCAGCACCAAATAAATACTTTACTCACAAAAATAAGTCAAGAAGGATGTGGTGGCAGAGGGGTTTTGGAAGGAAATTCCAGGCAGCTCAAAGTGCAGCTGCCAATAGTGGGAAGGGGCTCACGAGATTGCATGTCAGAGGAATCATAGAATCCCTGCAGTGTGGAAGCAGGCCATTCAGCCCATTGAGTCCACACCGATCCTCCAAAGAGTATCCGACCCAGACCCGCCCCCATACCCAGCAGCCCTGCATTTCCCATGGCTAACCCACCTGGCCTGCATATCCCTGGACACTGCCAGGCAATTTAGCATGGCCAATGTACTTAACCTACACATCTTTGGACTGTGGGAGGAAATCCACACAGACACAGGGAGAATGTGCAAACTCCACACAGACAGTTACCTGAGGGTAGAATTGAACTGGGGTCCCCGGTGCTGTGAGGCACCAGCGTTAACCACAGAGCCACACTGAATGGAGGGGAATGGAAAGTTGTTAAAAGCAGGCTGCTTGGGAGGTAGCAGTAGGGCCGAAGGAGATTATAAAGGCTGTGAAGGACGGTGCCATTGATATTTGAGGATGAGATTCAGGAGAACTCTTGAACAGGCAATACAGCAGGTGAGCATGAGTGACTGGAACCCAGTGAAGGATAGGGTATGGTCAATCGAGCTGAGGGTGATAGAAAACAAAGATAGGATTGGGAGGAGGCCATTCAGTAATCGAACATGCTCTGTAGTTCAATAGGGTCATGGCTGATCTGATACCGAGCTTAATGACCCCATAATCCCTGACCCCCTTGATCAGAAACCTGCCTAACCCAGATATATCACTTGAATATATTCAATTCCTCAGCCTCCCCTGCTCTCAATGGAAGAGGATTTCACAGACTAACCACCATCTGCGAAAAGATGTGGGGTGAGACCAAAGATCACTGGAACAGTCGAGTCTGAAGGGGGAATGGCATGGGGGAGGCTTTCTGCAATGGGTGAGTTTGATCAGGTCCAGAGAGAAGAAATATTACAGAAGTGGACACTGGAGCACATTGCAATGGGAAGGTGAGGGTGCAGAAACTCAGGGTCAAATATCTGTGAACAGTCCAGATTCAGCCCGGGAACGCAGGAACCCGGGAACGCGGGAACCCAGGAGCCCAGGAATGCGGGAACCCGGGAACGCGGGAGATTGGGATGGAGAATGCTGAGGTTGAGGTCAGCACTGACATGTTCTTATTCTCCAGAGGATTGAAGCCTATCCTTCATCATTCACCAAACCACAAATGTCTGTCTAGAAGGCAAATGAACCCTGCCCTGCCCTGTTTCTGTGGCTTAGACCATGTATCTCCAGCCAGGCTGGAGGTTTGCTGTTGACTGCCTTGGTACAGATTTTGAATATGTTTCAAGTTGTATCCTGTGCTAACTCATTCTCTTACATAATCATCGCAGTTGGTTTCTGAGATACACAACATGGATCAACAGGATTCTGATCAAAATGTCGTTTGCATTCCCACTTTGCTCACCTCTTATGGTAACAAAGCATTGCCCCAGTGAGTAAATCATATCCCCACCACCCCTACTCTAACCTCCTTCACACCCTCTCACTCGTCCTCCACACACTCTCAATATCTCTCACACACCCCTCACTCCTCCCTCACACATCCTCAATAGCCCTCACACCCCTCACTCCTCCCTCACACACCCTCAATAGCCCTCACACCCCTCATTCCTCTCCTACACACCCTCAATAGCCCTCACCAGCCCTCAGTCCCTCACGGTCCTCACTCCTCCTTTACACACCCTCAAGGTTCCTACACCTCCCTCACAAAGCCTCGATATCCCTCACACCTCCACAGCTCCTTCCTCAGAAACCCTCAATGTCTTTTATACCCCACAACTCCTCCCTCACAGCCCCTCACTCCTCCCCTATACACCCTCAATCAATCTCACTAGCCCTCAATATCGCTCGCACATCTTCCTCACAAACCCTTAATATCCCTCACAAGCCCTCCTTTACACACCCTCGACCTACCTCACTAACCCTCAGTCCCTCACTTCCTTCACTCCACCCTCAAAAGCCCTCAATGCCCTTCACATCCCCTCATTCTCCCTCACCAAGCCTCAATCTCCCTCACAAATGCCCAGTTCCTCACACAGCCTCCCTTACACACCCTCGACCTACCTCACTAACCCTCAGTCCTCACTTCCTTCACTCCTCCCTCACAAACCCTCAATGCCCTTCACATCCCCTCATTCTCCCTCATCAAGCCTCAATCTCCCTCCCAAACGCCCAGTCCCTCACACAGGCTCTCTTACACATCCTCTAGCCTCGGGCAGGCTGAGTGCAGGGCTTGAGGGACATTGTGTAACTCTGCAGGTTTGTCCCTGATTCCGTGTCCTCAGGAGGCAGCCCGTTCAGTCTGTGCCCCGAGTGTCAGGGACTGATGCTGCCTTCACCCGAACCTCATCTCTCCCCCGGGTCACTGTCCGACCTTCCCCACTGCTACCAGTTTCAGAAAAAAACCCACTGTTAACAGGGAAAACTGTCCCTCACAGGAAATTGCTGCTAAATGCTCTTTCTTTTTGGGTATCTGAAACAACCTGTGTTTGTTTTTGGATCCCGCATAATTGGTGACACTAAAGCCGTCATATAGCAGCAGGAAAAAGATACCAATCGCAACCAGCAGTTCTCTCCTTCTGCTCAGGGACAGGCAACTGCTCGTTTGTTTCTCTCTGTGACCCCCTTTGCCATTCATCTGCTGACCAATGCCAAGGTACTTAGTAACCACCTGAACAATATTCTTTAAACAAACACTCCTTAAAAGATTGTGCAGGCATTAATCTGAGGGTTTCAATATATGTCTAAATACATTGAAATAAAAAAGAAACCTCGATCGTTTTCAGCCTTGAAGGAAAACACAGGAGCTAAAATGTGAAATAAGTGGGGGACTTACCAAGTTGGTCAGAGAGGCAGACTCCAAATGCTTTGAAATGCCACCTTCCCAAAACTTGACGCTTGCTGAACCCGCCTCTTATAAGTTTGACGTGCCACTGAGAATTCAGGATTCACAGCCCGTTCCCCTTGATCCAGCTGCCTGTTAAACACACCATTGACCGCTTTAATGAAGAACATCAGGGCACACACGTTAAAACGCTCCCTCACTTTTCACTGGTGACGGTGGCTATGCAATAATTTATAGGCATCACAGAGTAAGGGGTGAACAACATTATTTCAGTCTATGCTGCTTTAAGAGAAAACAGATGTGGAAGCCGAACAAAGGCTACAGTCTTGCACTAAATTCATCATTAGCCACTTTAAATGCCGCTGAACCCGGGTAAAGTTCAGCCCTGGTCAGAATCTACGGTTTCAGGATCTGAAATCTACCTGAGGTACCAGCAACATTCCTCAAAACTGACAAGCGAGATCTGGGCTCACAGCTTGTGGATCGGGCAGCCTAGTGCCTGAATGCACATTCCGCAGCAAGCACACACACTCTCTCTCCCCTCCACTCTCTTGCTCTCCCTCTCTCTCTCTAACCCTCACTCTCTCTTTCAGAGTCTCACTTTCTCTCATTATTCCCCACTCCCTCTCTCACCCTCTCAGTATCTTTCACTGCCTCACACTCTCTCTCATTCACTCAGTATCTTTCACTCCCTCTCTCTCATTCTCTCAGTATCTTTCACTCCCTCTCTCTCATTCTCTCAGTATCTTTCACTCCCTCACACTCTCTCTCATCCACTCTCTTTCTCACACTCAGTATCTTTCACTCCCTCACCCTCTCTCTCATTCACTCTCTCCCTTTTTTCCCATTCTCACCCTCTCTTTTCCACACTCTCTCTCCCTCAGGGTTGCTATGATCCCCATATTTTTTCCTCATTCTTTCTTTCCTTCCATTTCACTGTCTCCATTTTTCTCTTCCCTCCATCTCTCTCCTCAAAAGCTTTTTCATTCACTCGTTCTTTCTGTGGTCTCATTCTTTCTCTTTTTCCTTACTTCTTTCTCTACATCTCAAATTTCGTTTCCTCTCATTCTCTCTTTCTCCCTCTCATTCCTTCTCAACTCTCCTTTCCTCCTTCAATCAGGTCTCCTTTCCGCCCACTTCACATTCCGTCTTTCCACATTCTACTCCACCCTGGGATTAACTTTTATATCCTATCAAGTTTCAGTAGGACGATATCGATAAGGTGGAATATAAATAAGAAGGTAAACGAAGAGGAGGTTAGAGAAAATGGCTTATACTTTAATAACTTGCAGTGGGACTGGTCTCTCGCCACAGCATACTGCCTGGGTTATACGAACATAGGAGCAAGAGTAGGCCATTCGGCCCCTTGAACCTGTTGAGCCATTCAATAGATCATGGCTGATCTGATTACGGTCTCAATTCCTCTTTTCTCCCTCCCCCCAATAACCTTTGACCATCTTGTTAGTCGAGAATCCACCTACCTCTACCTTCAATGTTCAAGGTCACAGAGAGTTCCAAAGACTCTGAGAAGAAAATTTCTCCTCCTCTCCATCTTAAGTGGGAGACCACTCGTTTTTAAACTGTATCCCCTCATTCTAGTCTTTTCCGCAAAGGGAAACCATAGAGTCACAGAGTCATTGAGATGTACAGCATGGAAACAGACCCTTCCATCTAACTCATCCATGCCGACCAGATATCCCTAAATTAATCTAGTCCCATTTGCCAGCATTTGGCCCATATCCCTCTAAACCCTTCCTATTCACATACATCTTTTTACCGTTCACCTTGTCAAGTCCTGTTGGGATCTTATTTGTTTCACCTGATTCCAATGGATACAGACCCAATCTTTCCCCATAAAACAAGCGCCCCACCCCCATCTCAGGTACTGGTTGAGTGAACCTCCTTTGTATAGCCTTTACTGCAATTACATCCTTACTGAAATAAACAGACCAGAACTACACACAGCAGGGCAGGGTGGCACAGTGGTTAGCACTGCTGCCTCACAGCGCAAGGGACCTGGGTTCAATTCCAGCCTTGGGCGACTGTCTGTGTGGAGTTTGCACATACTCCCCGTGTCTGCGTGGCTTTCCTCCAGGTGCTCCGGTTTCCTCCCACAGTCCAAAGATGTGCAAGTTAGGGTGGATTGGCCATGCTAAATTGTCCATAGTGTTCAGGGAGGTGTAGATTAGGGGGGTGGGTCTGGGTGGGATGCTCTGAGGTTCAGTGTGGACTTGTTGGGTCGAAGGGCCTGTTTCCACACTGTAGGGATTCTATGATTCAGCGCTGCAGGAATGGCCTCACCCAACCCCTCAAATATCCTGTGTGAGCTTGACTGTGAGTGTTGGCGGGTTGACTGATCATCCATGTCTGTGTCTCAGGACCATGTAGAATAGAATCAGAGAATCCCTGTAGTGCCACAAGAGACCATTTGGCCCATTGAGTCTGCGCTGACCCTTTGAAGAACACCTCAACCAGACCCATTTCCCAAACCCATCCCTGTAACCCTGCATTTTCCATGGCCAATCCACTTAAACTGCACATCTTTGGACTTTGGGAGGAAACTGGAGCACCCAGAGGAAACCCATGGGGAGAATGTGCAAACTCCACACAGAGAGTCACCGGAGGGTGGAATCGAACACAGAGCAGAGTATTCACCTACTTAGCCATGTTGATTCTTTTCTTACAAGTGTACCTCTCAAGTGTTTCTGGAATCTGTGCCATGACAGAAAAGTCATTGTGTGTGTGAGTGTGTGTGTGTAAGAGAGAGAGTGAGTATGTGTATGTGTCTGTGTGTGTGTGTGTGTGTGTTTGTGTGTGTATGTGAGTATGTGTGTGTGTGTGAGTGTGCGTGTGTGAGTGTGTATGGGAGTGTGTGTGAGTGTGTATGTGTGTGTGAGTGAGAGTGTGTGTGTGAGAGTATGTATGAGTGTGTATGTGTGTGTGTGACAGTATGTGAGTGAGTGTCTGTGTGTGTGTGTGTTTGTGAGAGTGTGTATATGTGTATGTGTGTGTCTCTGTATGTGAGCGTGTGTATGTGAGTGAGAGTGTGTGTGTGTGATTGTGTGTGTGTGAGCGTGTGTATGAGTTAGAGTGTGTGTATGTGTGTGCGTGTTTGTGTGTATGTGTGTGTATGTGCGCATGTGTGTGAGTGAGTGTGTATGTGCGTGTGTGTGAGTGAGTGTGTTTGTGTCTGTATGTGTGTGTATGTGTGAAAGTGTATGTGTGTGTACCTGTAAGTATATGTGTATGTATGTGTACATGTGAGTGCATGTGTGTAAGAGTGTGTGTATATGTGCGTGTACATGTATGTACATGAGTGTGTGTGTGAATGTGTGTGTACGTGTGTGTCTGTGTACATGAGTGTGTGAGTACATGTGATTGTGTATGTGCGTGTGTACATGAGTGTGTGTACATGTGAATGTGCATGTGTGTGTACATCAGTCTGTGTGTGTATATACATGTGAGTATGTGTGGGTGTGTGTGCGTGACTCAGAGCTGAAAGTCGATATGAGCCATTCTGTATAAACAAGCCCTAAATATCAAAGCCCATAATACAGCCGCAGCACAAAGCTAGATATACAAATACCAGCACTCCTGAATACATATTTCTTGATATACAACGGACAGTGTCAACTGTAATAAAACATTGCTACTTTTACAATGTGTCTCTATGAGATGATGCAAACTCCGAATCCCAGTGAGCAATTTCATCGAAATTTCTCCATTTATATCATGGAACAGGGTAAAGCTTAAGTTATCAGTCTGCTCTGTTCTGACTTGTCTATGATCTCTCTGCATTGATGATGCATCGGGCGAGTGTGTTGGAAGGGAGTGAGAGAGAGCGCACAGTGGAGAGAGAGAGAAAGGAGAGACTATTTGTGAGAATGGAGGGAAATAGAAAAGTTGGGGAGAGAGAAAAGGGAAATAGATGTGTGTGTGTGTGAGAGAGAGACAGGGGAAGGGGAGGGAGAAAAGGCAGAGGGAGGTAAAACATGATTGAAACAGGAGGATGGGAGAGGAAGAATTAAGGGAGAGAGGCAGGAAGGAAACAGGATGAAAGACAGAAAGAAAGGAACGTTAAATGAGGTGATGGGATAAAACAATTGTTGAAAGAGGCAGGAAAATAGCAAGGAAGAACAGAAAGGGATACGAAGGGAAGAAAGAGGCAAAATGGAGGAGAGAAGAGTGAGGATGATGGAAGTTGAGGGTATCAGGACAAAATGTTATATGGGAAAGAAGAGGAGGAAACTGAGTGCAAGTTTTACACGAAAGAAAAGGAGAGGAGAAACGATAAAAGGAATGACAGAGGGATGCCTCAATTTCGCGTCGGTGTCCTGTGCAAATTTAAAGCCTGAGTTAGGCTGCCCCAGGCACCCTGCAGCCGGAGTATGTGGTAGTGTCTGTGCCAGGGACTGCTCAGTGAGCTCTACCTTGATCATTAAGCCATTGGCTGCAGATTGTAAATGACAGGCCTCTTGCTCCAGGATAGAGCCAGGTGTCTTTCAGCCTCAACATTAGCGCGTTGCTGTCAAAGTAAATCTTTGTTGTATTTTTTCAGTCAGGCTGATCTGTCCCCTGAGGAGTTTTTCGAGGCGGATTATCCGTTTCTTCGGAACCTGAGTACCTGAGCACATTCCACACGGCTCTCCCTGTATGCAGCAAAGCATTCAGCCTCTTCCTCAGATCCCCTGGGAGAACTCCGGGCCGTTCGGGGGGGGAGGGGGGTGGTGGTATTTCCAACCCAGCCCCAAGCCACCAACACCAGAGGCTGGGGGTCCAGAATAACTGGGTGGTGGAGTGGGTGGGGGAGACATCAGCCTAAGAAAACAAACCCTCATAATGGTCTTGAAGTTACATGGATAAATAAACATAGCACTCAAATCCACTCGGACACCCATTACACAGTAAGGGGAAGCTGTACAAACACATTCAATTCCTGTTATGTTATGTGTATAACACATACAAACTGTAAGATACACAACGTGAATGTAATGGGTACAACAGAGGCAGCAGGAGCACTTTTGCAAAACGAATGTTGCGGTTCAAGAGTGGTCTATTTGAAACTGTAGAGGTGCTCGCTATTGCAGGTCCTACAATACGTACACTCCACGGAATCCAGATAGCTTTTCCACACAGTATAAGTCCTGTATGCAACATGTGCAATACTTACATAAATGCTCATCAGAATGTACCGATTTCACACCGATGGTACAATATAATTGTGTACTTTGTGTGACTGTAACTCACTGAGTCTGTCACAGGTCTGAATTTCTGATGCTTCTACTCCCCGGGAAAGGGAACGTTGTGAGGTTTGAAAGGTTGGAGAGAGTGGGATTCAGTTTTACGGGACTTCAGCCCCCAGTTTAAAGCAGTGGAGGTAGACTTGTGAGTGTGTGCGACAATGTAAAATATGTGCTGGAGAATCGGCAGTCCATTTAAATCACGGTGGAAATCACTTTAAGGAACAGTGCGGAAGGAGTAAAATGGGCTACTAATCCACTATCTCCCAG